CTGAGTGTTGTGGCTCATGCCTGTAATTCCAGCGACTCAGGAGGCTGAAACAGGAGGATCACAAGTTTGAGGCCAGTCTCAGCAACTTAGTGGACCCTGTATATCAAAATCAAAAATAAAAAGGGCTGGGGATGTAGTTTAGTGGTAAAGCACCCATGGGTTCAATTCCCAGTACCAAAAGAAAGAAAGAGAGTGTGGATGCCTGCGAACTCCTGAGGAGAATGTGTGTTGTCCAGGTACTTGGGAAGGCCTATCATTGTGTCATCCCTGTGGATAATGGGATTGGGCAGAACACTGAAGACTATCCCCCCTACCTCCAGATAAAAACCATCCTGAGGAGCAGGACGAGGTCTCCTGTTTGGTGAGCGGCCTCATGCGCACGTCTATTGGCCATCCAGATGCCAGGCCCGAGGTGAGGTGCTCACGTGGGCATTGTTCCCCTGACTCACCCCACCTAGCAGCTGAGGGAAGCCCGGGATAAAAGGCTGATGAAGCATCCAGCCTCGTGGTGGCCTAATTGGCTGTGTCTCATTAGCAGGCTGGGGCTGACCCAGGGTGCCCTCGAAACCAGGGCAGGGCTAGGCCATGGACTTTCAAGGATTTCGATTTCAGGGCCTATCTCACTCCCTGTTCCTACCCAACTCTCTAGGCTCCAGCAACTTCTGGTCCAGCCCCTGTCAGCCTGGTAGAGACAGCTGCTGAAGACAGCTCACCCCGTGGGACACTGGCGAGCAGTGGAGATGGTGAGGAACCAAGGAGTGTGAGACTTGCTAAAACTTGCTGAGGCAGAGACCAGGAACCAGAGGGAAGGAGTTGACAGAGGGACATGACCTGAGTCTAGGGAGGGCTAATGCCTAAATCTCAGTGCTCTGTTCCTTTCAGGGTTTGAAGAAGGTCTAACTGTGGCCACTGTGGTAGAGTCGGCCCTCTGTGCTCTGAGAAACTGTGTGGCCTTCATGCCCCCAGGTGAGGCTGGGGTCTGGTATGTGTTAATATTGTTGGGAGTTCTTTGGCTAGGAGGCTAGGAAGAAGCAGGTCCTTATTTCCTTTTTTCCCTTGACAGCCGAACAGAACCCAGCCCCTCTGGCACAGCCAGAGCCTCTGGTGTGGGTCAGCAAGTGGGTTGACTACTCCAACAAATTTGGCTTTGGGTATCAACTGTCCAGCCGCCGGGTAGCAGTGCTTTTCAATGATGGCACACACATGGCCTTGTCAGCCAACAGGAAGTAAGTGCTGTTCTGGGGTGTCTTGTATCCAGGGTGTTGGACTCATCAGGGCTGCACCTTGGCATGTGTTCCTAGGCTCAGGGGCCTAGGGTTTCTCGGTAGAAGGGTGTTGGTGCAGGGCTCCCTCTGACCTTGGCCTCCCCCTACTTCCAGGACTGTGCACTACAACCCCACCAGCACAAAGCACTTCTCTTTCTCTGTGGGTGCTGTACCTCGAGCTCTGCAGCCTCAGCTGGGCATCCTACGATACTTTGCCTCCTACATGGAGCAGCACCTCATGAAGGTATGTGGGTAAGGGTTGAGCATACTGAAGATTTACACATCCTCATAAGTTCCCCTTTGGTAATGGGAGGAGGGGCTCAAAGTTAAAGGCTGAACCTATAAGAAAGGGAGACATCGATGGAGACATCTGATTCATGTCAGACCAGTGACCTGCCCTGCTCCTGCTCTCAGGGTGGAGATCTGCCCAGTGTGGAAGAGGTGGAGGTGCCTGGCCCACCCTTGCTGCTGCAGTGGGTCAAGACTGATCAGGCCCTCCTCATGCTATTTAGTGATGGCACTGTCCAGGTAAGAGCCCACCCTGGAGTTGGAGGGAAGGTCTGGGAGGCCTAGGATGTTGGGAAGAAAATTGGGCCTGGAGCCTTGGCCCTGGCCCTGATCAATATCCTTCTCCTTGTATACAGGTGAACTTCTATGGGGACCACACCAAGCTGATCCTCAGTGGCTGGGAGCCCCTCCTTGTGACTTTTGTGGCCCGAAATCGCAGTGCTTGTACTTACCTCGCTTCCCACCTCCGGCAGCTGGGCTGCTCCCCGGACCTGAAGCAGCGACTCCGATATGCTCTGCGGCTGCTCAGGGACCGTAGTCCAGCCTAGGCCCCACCATGCAGAGCAGGCCATGACCAAGCCCTCAAACCTGAGGCCTGTGCCTGTAAGGCTCTGGCCCTTGCCTTTGTGGCCCTCTCTGTTCCATTGGTGCCTCACTGGGGGCTCTGGGCTGAATCCCCCAGGGAATCAGGGACCAGCTTTACTAGAGTTGGGGTGGCTTGTCCTTACTATTTCTTACCCCCTCTCTGAGATAAGCCTGAGCCTTAGCCCCAAATTAGGGGCATTATTTATGGACCACTTTTATTTATTGACAGACATTTATTTATTGGGATGTGAGCCCCAGGGGGCCCTCCTTCTGGGATAATAAACCTTTTGCAGAACTCGGCCTGCTTATTCGTAGTAGAGCCCATGGACAGTGGCCACCGCAAAAAGTGAAGCGTTGGTGAAGGTAGCAGAAGCCAGTCCGTCGCGTGCTACATCCCAAAGCGCGCGACTGACCACATGTACGCCCTGGCCGGTGCGCGGCCCCAGCACCACGTTGCACACAAGCTTATAGCGCGGTGGGCTGAACTCACGCAGGTGCGCACGCATCTGTTCACACAGCTCTCGAGTCAGCCTCCCAGCCTCCGAACCAGAGTAGGAAGCATCCCGCAACCTGGCATCCAAGGCTGCCTCCAGAGCACGCTGAGCACGGGCAGCCTCCCAGCATTCTCCAGGCGCAGGCTCCATGCGGTACGAAGGTGCTACCTGACGGACTGGCGCCAGGGGCAACCCTGAGAAGCTGACCCGAGAACCTAGAGGGGGCGCTGGGACCAGGGATTGTCGCCGACCTCCAGGACCAGTGACTGGCCCAGCCAGTGAGTTGCGACGTGAGAAGGATGTGGCTGGACCCAGCACAGAGCCACGGCGGGAGGCTGGGCCCACAGCTGCAGGTCCAGCCTCATCAATGCTGGGCAGGCGACCACGGGGCCGTACTGGTGGTAGTTTAGGCCCCAAATCTTTGGCAGTCTCTTCCTGGTGTCCCTCCTGGCGTCCTGGGGGCAGAGGCCTGCCAGCCATGGGCCTGCTAGTTGAAAGACACACATTTAGGATGGGCTTCAGTGGCCATCTTTCTGCGTCTCCTGTTGCTGAGTGATGTGAAGGGTTTTTATACCCCTACTCTCTTCTTATTTACCACCTGCCACCACACACACACCGGCTGACTTTTCCCTTTTTTTTTTTTTTTTTTTTTTTTGAAGTGGTGTCACACTATGTAGCTCAGGCTGATCCTGAACCTCTGGGCTCAAATGATTCTCCCACTTCAGCCTCCCAAGTAGCTGGGTCTAGGTGGCACAGCACTGTGTCTAACTTCCCCTTACCCACTTCTTACCTGTGTTTTTGGAACAAGTGGATCAAACAGTCAAGCTGGGTGAGTTTCTAAGTGCTTAGAGAGTTAAGGGCTGTTAGGGACATAAAGAGGGGAAAAGACGCTACTCAGCCTATAATCCTGAGCTAGTCTTTGCCATCCTGGTTTCCACTTTGCCTTGGGCACTATGTAGGTTGGCTAAGTGAGATCTATTATATTTACTTTTCTCCCTTCCACTTGACTTCACTAGCATAAGGGGGAGATGAAGCTGGCTTCTGACTCAGCCTGGAGAGTAGAAGTGGTGCCTGCAACCCTTAACCAGAAAGGATGGACAGAACCAACTCCTTCATTTCCACAGATCCCACTAACCCTGGGGATATTGAATCCAGTCACCTTCTGCCATTCCTGCTCTGATAGGGCACAGAAGACTCACTCAGCCACTACAACAGGCTGAGGCTCGGGGCAGGTGACCCACTGAAACTCTTCTTCTTTTTGCTTTTGTCCTGTGACTGCACCTCCTACAGAACCACTTCTGGGATGGTTGCCCTCCTCTCCTGAAACTCCCTCAGGCACCTGACTCACCTGCAGCTTTGGTCTCCAAGCTCTCTCTGCTCCACAGCCCTGGCCCAGCTAGCCTGACTTGCAGGTGGGAGGAGGAAGGGCCATGTTTTGCAGTTGCCATGGGCTGCTAGGGCAAGCACTCCTTCCTCCCAGAGTCCCTCCCTTCCTCCAACTTGGCTCTGGAATAACCTAAGAGTGTTACTACTATGAGCACCTGCTGAGGATGGGGTACCCCTGAGTTATTGGGGAAAAAGGCCTATAAGGTCTTGAGCTCAGGGACATACTACCACCACCAGACAACCGATAGTTAGGGGCTCTGCTTAGAAAGCCCCAGGACTCTTGAGCCATTCTCCATTTCTTCCTTTGTGAAATGGCCAGATGACTGGCCATTTATGAACCAATCACAGGGCCTAGGGTATGTGTGGGAGGACATTGGGGCTGCAGGGGTGGCTGCTCAGGAATCCAGGATCCAGGCAGACAGGAAGGAGCACGTCATTGCTCTATCGTCTCCCCATCAGTCTCAACCAGGACAAACATTTCCGCTCCAGGCGCTGAGCTGGGGTGGGGCTTGGATGACTTCCTCAGTTCTGGGCTTTGTGTGGGGGTGGGGAGGCCCATTGGCTCAGATGGAAGGACCAAGTCCTGAAAGCTATGACTCAGTGGTAAACCTGAGTCCAGTCTCTTGACCCTTACTGACCCAAGTGCCCTGGGGCTTGTCCCCAGTTGGCCACACCTCTGTGTGCCCCAGTACCTAGATTACCCAGCTGCATTTCAAGGATGCCAGAGGCTGCCATGCTTCTGTCAGAGCAGACAATTCACTTTACCCTGGAAGGGATGGGACTACCCCCTCTCCAGCAAACTATGTCTGGGCCCAGAAAATCATCCATGGAATGAGGATTTTCCCTGTGGAGGTGAGGTTTCCCAGGCCTGCCTAACCTGAGTTTAACCTATGACTGGGGGAGAGCAGGAGCTTGAATTCTGAAATTGTGGCAGGTCAGGACCAGAGTTAAGGCTCTCAAGACTGTGTTTAGGGCCCTTCCACAGGCTAAAGTTTTCCACCAGGCCTGTGGGGAGATGGGCGGGGCCTCCTTTTAGGCTGGGCTCCAGTTTCCATGGAAACCCACAGGCTTCCCACCCCAACGCCGCCTGGGCAAGCTCCCAGCCCAGGCCTCATCCCACACCAGCTTCTCCCCTGGACTACTGGCGCTCCGGCCTCAGCCTCTCCAGGTCCCCTACCTCTACCCCCACCATATCTATCCCTATTCCTGAGCCTCTCTTCATCCCTAAACTTTAGTTTCTCAGTAAACAGGCTTCCTGAGCTCCTGCCTCTCTCAGGCCTTTCTAATCTCCTCACCAGCTCTAAGGCCTGGCAGGCCTCCCACAGACCAACAAACAGCAGCAGACCTCCTAAACCACTCCACTTTCTTTTTCTCCCTGCCCCCACTCCATGCATGGAGAATCCAGGACTAGTTGTGCATGGGCAGACTTCTTCCTTTTCCACAGCTCTTCGAAGTCTTGTCAACAACCCCCAGTACAGGTGAGGAAGTGGGCCCGGTTGGTAAGTTTTCCCTAGCTGATTTTGCTTAGCCCCATGACTCTGGGGAGGCCCTGGGTGAAGAGGTGAAAAGGACTTTGCCTTCCTCCCTGGCAAACTCAGTCGGTGGGGAAGCCAACTGTAGATGATGGCTACCAGCTTCTCAGTGTCCATGATATCTTTTTTTTTTTTTTAAATATTTATTTATTTTAGTTTTTTTTTTTCGGCAGACACAACATCTTTGTTTGTATGTGGTGCTGAGGATCGAACCTGGGCCGCACGCATGCCAGGCGGGCGTGCTACCGCTTGAGCCACATCCCCAGCCCCGTCCATGATATCTTGAGAGCCAGGGTGGGGGGCTGTGGGGGATAGAGCCCTGGGCTGCGGTGTGAGCTCAAGCAAAATCCTTCTGTGAATCTTGAGCTCCTCTCAGAGGGGAAAAGAGCCTGAAAAATGCGATGTAACTTGACTCCCTCCCATTGAGCACTTAGATGTTGGGGCCTCTCTCCTTGAAGAGGCAGGAGCCTGTTCTGAGAATTGGGAATTCAAAAGAGGAAGAAAGCTCAAGGGATTGAGCCAGAGTTCCAGACAGGAAGTAGTTCAAGGGTGCTGACCACTGTTTGCCCAAAATGCTAATGGTGTTTGAAAATAGGGATAGAGTTTACTTGGGGCAGGGTTGGTCAGGAGAGCTAAAATGTAGCTCTCCCCCCGCCCCAGTATCTCAAATCTGGATTCTTCCCCAGGGTTGGTAGTTCCAATAACCCTGCTTCTCTGGGGGTTGCAGTCTGGTCTGAGTAGTAGGAACCTCACGACTTGGACTATGAAACTAGAAGGCTCTAAGAAACTCACATATTTTCTTTTGTCTTCTACCATCTACCTTGTTCAGGGGCCCAGAAACTGGGGCCGGAAGTGATCATGAAGATGGAAAATGTGGTCTGGCCTCATTATGGTGCATGACTGCCATGTCTGTTTACAGTTAATGCACATTCTGCACCCTACACCCCCACTCCCTCCTCCCTGGAGGAGGGCTGAAAAACAGCTGAGTTTGCAGCCAGTGGAGGAGGTACCAAGAAGAGCTTTCCCTCCCCAAAGACTCAGACTGGGGAGGGGCTGGGGAGTTGGGATCAATCTTACTTTTATTAACCCTGTTGCCCCCTCGCAATCAAGAACAGTCACCTCCTCTGAGGTCAGGGGTGAGAAACTTAAGATTCAAAGATAGGAAATTGCCAGGCACAGTGGCATATGCACATAATACCAGTGGCTCAGGAGGCTGAGGCTAGTTCAAAGCTAGCCTCAGAACTTAGTGAGACCCTTCTCCAAAAATAATAGCAACAACAACAAGAATGGGCTGGGGATATGACCCAGTGTGTGGGGAGAGAAGTCACTTGCCTGCAATACCATGGATGGAGCTGGGATTGGAACTCACGTCTGTGTATACCAGACCTTTTCCTGGAAGGCTAAACCCTGTCTTATGTTACAGATAAGGAAACGAAGGTTCAGAGTGGGCAAAAGTGAAGCCCATATTGTACTCTAGGCTCTGGACTCCTTTCCTCTGGCTCTCTGCCCCTCTCTTCCACAGTGATGTTTGCTTTGTGGTCGGTCAAGAACGGCAGGAGGTATTTGCCCACCGGTGCCTGTTGGCCTGTAGATGCAACTTCTTCCAGCGACTGCTGGGCACAGAGCTGGGCCCCGGGGTGCCTAGTCCTGTGGTGCTAAGCACTGTGCCAGCTGAGGCCTTCTTGGCAGTGCTGGAGTTCCTGTATACCAACAGTGTCAAGCTGCACCGCCACTCTGTGAGCCCACTGACCAGGGGCCTGGGTGGGAGTGGCTGGGGGTACAAGAGGCAGGAGTCTGCCCATCACACTGTGGGCCAAGAGGCAGGAGAAACTCTCTTCTGGTCCCCCAACCACCCACTTTGTAGGTGCTGGAGGTGTTGACGGCAGCTGTGGAGTATGGGCTAGAAGAACTGCGAGAGGTAGGTTTTTGTGCCAGGTCCTGGTTGGTTTCCCTTGCCTCTCATGGACCCAGTTCATACCCTACTTTTCATACTCTGACCTGGAGGGCAATGTGTATACACATAGAAGTACAGGAATCTCTGTATACACAGGGCATGCATGTGAGTCTGTATGCACAGAATCCTCACATGCCCCGAGTAGGCTAATTGAACATCAGGTGTTGATGAGTGAAGGATAAATCAGCCTTGATCCCTATCTCTAGAGGAAACACTTAACCCCGTGGCACGAGTGTGATATATAGGGTAAATAGTACTGAGGCTATGTGGGGAAAGAATTCCTGGAGGAGGAAACATTTGTGATTTGGCAGAATGAACAGTTTTTTTCACAGGGGGAATGGGAAGATGTCATCCCAGTTACAGAGGTACTAAAGGAGATAGTGAGACATTTGGTGTGGTTGGATAGGATGTGAGAACAGAAGGGGGCAAGATATGACTGGAGAGAGTGCCAGGAGCTGGTTCATTCAGGGTCTTCAAGAATTTAGACTTCTGGGCTGGGGATGTGGCTCAAGCGGTAGCGTGCTCGCCTGGTATGCCTGCGGCCCGGGTTGGATCCTCAGCACCACATACAAAGATGTTGTGTCTGCTGAGAACTGAAAAAAAAAAAAAAAAAAAAAAAAGAATTTAGACTTCTGTTTGGGTGTCGTGGCTCATGCCTATATTCCAGTGACTCAGGAGGCTGAGACAGGATTGCAAGTTCAAAGCCAGCCTCTGCAACTTAGTGAGGTTCAAAGCAACTTAGTTAGACCCTGTCTCAAAATAAAATATAAAAAGGGCTGGGGACGTGGTTCCATGGTTAAATGCCCCTGGGTTCAATTCCTGGTTCCAAAGAAAGTAAAGAACTGACTTCTGGATTGGGCATGCTGGTACACACCTATGATCCCATTGACTCAGGAGGCTAAAGTAGGAGGGTTGCAAGTCAAAGCCAAATTAGTGAATCCTGTCTCAAAATAAAAAATAAAAAGAGTTGGGGATGTAGCTCAGAGATAGAGCACCCCAGTGTTTAATCCTCAGTACTGCAAGAAAAAAAAGGGCATAGGGAGGGGAATTTAGATTATGGATTGGGAGTATTGGTCAGTGGTATAGTGCTTGCTTAGCCTGGTGAGGCCCTGTGTTCAATCCCTGGCCCACATGCGGGAGCGCACACACAAACACAACAAAAGAAAAAGAATTGTGATTTTTTTCAACCTGAGTACAGTGGAGATTTACTGAAGGTTTCAGGCAAGGGAATGGGATTTGGAAGCTAAGGGGAGAAGGGAGTGGAAGAAATAGAAAGGGCTCATCAAACCAGTCAGGACTCTAGTGTAGCAGTCAAGTCAAGTGGATGTGGCTAGGATGGGGGTGGCAGAAACCCAAAAGAGAAGTGGGTGGTTTTCAGAGATGAAGTGGAACTGGCATGACCCAGTGCTTTTCTGGGTGTGACAATGAGAGATGTTAAGGACGAAATTCAAGTTTCTGATAAAAATAGAAATGTTCTCAAGTCAGGAAAGGAACAAGTGGAAGAAAATAGCATCCTGAGAAGAGAGTGGAATTTTTGCATGGGTCTTATCTGATCTGATTAGTGGCAAGTGTGCTGGAAGGTGGTTTTCTGGGCTTGGCTTTGCTAATTTCCAGTTTCTTTGGGCTTGCCAAATCTCAGGCCCTGGCAATTCCTGGCTTCCCCAGGCCTGGATGGGTCTGAGGCTAATCGGAGTCTGGATGGCTAACCCTCAAGCCTGCCCACTACTTTATTAGGTCTGGGCCTTGGAGTAGAGATATCTCCACACAACTCAGATTTATTTCTGTTTCCAGCTGTGTCTGGAGTTTGTGGTGAAGGTGCTGGACGTGGAATTGGTTTGTGAGGCTCTGCAGGTGGGTGTTGCTGGATGGACCTAGGAGTAAGTCTGGCTTTCAGTATGTGGTACTGGGCTCCTAGGTACCAGGAGTCTAGACCTCCTGTGTCTGTCCTGGAATAACCTAGATACATGGAAGGGGGTAGGAATGTCCCAAGGATGTTTATGGGATAAATTATGTGCCTAGATAAGTGGGATCCAGGGTTCACTAGCAGGGTCAGGTGTAGGAGCAAGAGTTGAAGAACAGAAGATCTTTGCTGGTCTTCTATAAAAGCTGGGAAATGGTTCTCAGCTGAGGAAGGTGAAGGGTGGGGTTTGGAGAAGGGAAGCCAAGCCTAGGCCCCAGGATGGGATTTGAAGGCGATATCCTGCCTTCTTTAGTGTGCACTGTGTGTGGATATGCAAACAGGGACTTTCACTGGTTCTAGTTTCCAGAGGCCTTGTCATCCTCCCCAACTGGAAGTAGAGTCAGGTTCCCAGTGATGGTTCCCAGGGTGGAGGGCAGGGCTACATGGTTTCTCCAATCTCTAACCTAACTTCCTCATTCTGCTCCCAGGTGGCCGTAACCTTTGGCCTGGGGCCGCTGCAGGAGCGGTGCATAGCTTTCATAGAGGCCCACAGCCAGGTATTACTCCCCATCTTCATATTCCTAACCCCACACACCCCATTCTGCTTTCCCCTGATCGGTTCCCCCGCCCGCAGGAGGCGCTCCGGACTCGTGGCTTCCTGGAGCTGTCGGCCGCTGCGCTGCTTCCCCTGCTGCGCAGCGACAAGCTCTGCGTGGACGAGGTCGAGCTGGTCCGGGCAGCCCGGAGCTGGGCGCGCGTGGGCGCGGTGAGAGGGAGATCTTGGGGAACTCCAGGGCGCTGAAGGCGGCACCGGCAGCAGGAACCCAGCGAGCCGGAGGTGGGGCGGGTGCTCCTGCCATGCCCGGTCTGTGCTGGCTTTCGCAGGCGGTGCTGGAGCGGCCTGTGGCCGAGCTGGCGGCCCCGGTAGTGCGAGAGCTGAGGTTGGCCTTGCTGGCCCCGGCGGAGCTGAGCGCCCTGGAAGAGCAGAACCGGCGGGAGCCGTTCATCCCGGTGAGGACGCGGGGAGCCAGGCTCAGATCAACTCCGCAACGTGGGGACCCGGAGCTAGGGGTGCGGCTCTGCCCAGTGTCTCCCTGGCGAAGAGGCACTGCATGGCTGCGCGGTGACCCGCCTTCCCCTGTAGGTGGAGCAGATTGTGGAGGCGTGGAAGTGTCATGCCCTGCGGAGAGGGGATGCCGCCCTGGGAGCACTGTGCCGCCGACGGAGGGGGACCCTGCCCCGGGAGCACCACCGCTTTCTGGACCTGCCCTTCAAGTAACTCAAGGCCGTGACTAGAGAGGAATTCCTGGCCTGCTCAAAACTGCAGCTCCCAACGTGCTCTGCGGTTGGAGCGGGCTTCCGCTCCCAGCATGCCGCGCCTTCCGGGAGCCGGAAGGCTTGTTCTCGGGTGCCGCGCCCTGTGCGAGACGACCGGCCTAGGGCGGGGCTGTGAGAAGAGTGCTGGTCCAGTGCCTTCTCGCGATGGCGAAATCCAAAAGTGAGGGTTTCTTTCACTCCACGGCGGGGCACTCTCGTGCGCAGGTGTACTCTGATTGCTCCCACGTGTCTATTAGGTCCAGCCTCCTCTTTAATAATAGCTCTTCCTCCTGGAGATCGTTCCTTGAGTGCCCCACAGACACCTCAGTGCACAATCGAGCTCTCCGTCTTTCCCCCAGCTCTGTCCCGGTTCTGTTTCTCATTTCCGTGAACGCCCACGCCGGAAACTTGGACGTCATCCTTGCCCCATCCCTCTCCCTCGCACTTGCCTCAGGTCTTTCTACTTCTTAAAAGATCTTTCCAGATGTTTCAGTCTTTAGCCTATCCTGCCTATCACGTCTTATAACCCTTCTTGTCTTCACCCCTCAATCGATTTCCCACATGCAGTCAGCCCTATCAGATTGTCAAGTCGACTTCCCTTAAGTCCCTCAACATCCCTAATACACTCGCTGGGCGTTCAAAATATTGTGGTTTCTGAGCATTTAGCAACTCTTCTTTCATCCCTGCTTTTGCAAAAATTCTCCCCTGGGAGGTACTCAGGATTTGCTCCCTTGTTGTTGAGGTTTCCACTTTTCACCTCTTTCATCTTACATCTTGTCTTCCTGTGGACCTGAATCTCCCTGAAGAAAGATCCCTGAGGCCTGGAGTAGTGCCTTATTCGTTTTTTTTTCATCAGTCTCAGTCACATAATCAGTGTTTGGTAAATGCTAAGTGAATGACTTCATTTCCCTATTTATTCCATAAAGAGTCCTCCTAACTTCCAGCACTGGGGACTAAACCCTGGAGCGCTCTACCTACCACTGAGCTACATTCTTAACTTTTTTTTTTTTTTTTTTTTTGAGACAAGGTCTTGCTAATTTGCCTTGCTGGTCAGGAACTCCCCAACAGTCCTTCTAATTTTAGAGACTGCTCAGCAGCTGGGACAACAGATGTAGGCCTTCACACTGGGCAAAAAGTTTTAAAGAAGTTGTAAAACAAGATATCATCAATCTATGGGGCTGGGAATGTGGCTCAAGCGGTAACGTGCTCGCCTGGCCTGCGCGGGGCACTGGGTTCGATCCTCAGCACTACATAAAAATAAAATAAAGATGTTGTGTCCACCGAAAACTGAAAAATAAATATTAAAAAATTATCTCTCTCTCTCTCTCTCAAAAAAAAAAAAAGATATCATCAATCTAAAATGAGGGCAATTGACTATTTAGAAGAAAATATTTTAATGTCTGTCTCAGGGACTTTATACAAAAATATATTGCATTGGGCTGGGGATGTGGCTCAAGTGGTAGCGCGCTTGCCTGGCATGCGTGTGGCCCCAGTTCGATCCTCAGCACCACATACAAACAAAGATGTGTCCGCCGAAAATTAAAAAATAAAATATTAAAAATTGTCTCTCTCTCTCTTAAAAAATAAAAGGGTACATCCTGCGCTTTCAAACTTTAAAAAAAATATATTGCATGCCAATAAAAATAGTTATTTGTCACTCTCAAGATTGAAAAGTTTCGGGTTGTAGTGCACAAGCATGTAATCTCTGCAGCTGGGGAGGCTGAAGCAGGAGGATTGCAAGTTGGGGGCAACCTCAGCAACTTAGCCAGATCCTGTCAAAATAAAAAAAGACTAGGGATGTACATCAGTGGTAAAACACCCCAGGGTTCAATCCCTAGTACAAAAAAAAAAAAAAAAAAATGTTCACCCAGTAGTACCGCTTCAAGCAACATTGTTTCAGTAGTGGGGGGAAAAAAACCCAACACTTTATTTTGTGATACTGGGGATTGAGCCCAGGGCCTAACACATGCTAGGCAAGTGCTCTACCCCTGAGGTACATCACCAGCCCTTTTTGTTTTTTGAATTTTGAGACAGGGTCTCCCTAATTTCCCAGGTTAGCCTCAAACTTGTGATCAACCCTCCTGCTTCAGCCTTTTGAGCAACTAGACATGCACCACTGCACCTGGATGGAGAGTGAAAATTGAAAATTATATGTCCATTAATAGATATCTGGTTAAATTAACTATGGTATAGTCCTACAATGATACAAAAGATTTGCATGATCTTTACTGAAAAAAAAGCATAGTGTGACCAAGTAGAGTATTATGCCTTTTGTGATAGCTTGATGTGGTGGTACATGCCTGTAATCCCAGCAATTTAGGAGGCTGAGGCTGGAGGATTTCGAGTTTGAGGGCAGTCTCAGCAACTTAGTATGGCCCTAAGCAATCTGGCCAAACACTTTGAGAGCCTGGGAAGATGTGGCTCAGTGGTTAAGCATCCTTGGGTTCAATCCCTGGTATAAAAAGAAAGAAAGAAAAGAGAAGTGTGGTGCTAGGCACGATGGCATATGCCTGTAATTCCAGCTGCTCAGAAGGCTGAAGGAGAATTGTGTCCAGTCTGGACAACTTAGTGAGAGACAATCTGTCTATACCATGTAGCTCCATGGTGGTGCTTCCCCAACCCCTGTTCGATCCTATATCCAGCAAAATAAAATATAAATAAATAAATAAATAAATCTATTTGTTTCACATGTACTCACTAAGTGCACATGTTGGAGGTATTGATTTACCATATAGAGTGCATCAGAGAAAATCAAGTCTCTGCCTCATAGAGCTTCCATTCTAGGGGGAGAAACAAGGACATTTGCTACAATTTCAGGGAATATTGTTATCTCTAATTATCTCTTTAAGCAGGTTAAAGAGGTAGTGGTAGCTGAGCATACAGCTCAGTGGTAGAGTGCCTGCCATGTACAAGGCCCTGGGGTTCATCCACAGCACAGCAAGAAGAAAAGACAGTGATGGTGGTTGGAATGGGATTGTTTCATACAGAGTAGTGAGTGTAGATTTTGAAGCCTGCATAAACTCTCCACCTTTATTTGCTTTTAGTCATTTGATTATATCATCAATTTTAGAGTTCATGAAGCTAAGCGCTATTTCTATTAGCTTTGCTATGGGACATACTGGTTATGATGGTAATGGTTGCCTAAGTTGTTTTTCAGGAACTTGGCAGTAGCTTAAATTGGTTGAAATTCACTGACCCTTCACTTGGGCTTATACAAGTGTCTGACTTTTTGATGTCAGAGGGTCCAACACTTCACCCTCAGAGATGAGAATATTGCCATTCCCTGAACATACATTCTAGGAAGAACCATGAAGCTTGATTACACTTGCAGAGGCCACTAAGTCCTTCATTCTTCCTCAACTCCAATCAGCTTTTCCCATGTTTGAGAGCCTTTTGTTTCTGTATCCCCATAAATATCCCTAAATCCTGTTCAAGGGGAGGTAGATTTGAGAATTGGGGTTTCCACCTTCTCACAGTTGGCCACCTCATGAGTAAACTTTCTTCTTCGCCAAACTTGTCATGTACCACAAGAAGAACAAAAGGGGCCTGGTTCAATAAGGACTTTTGCTGAGATGAGGGTAGACTGGAGATCTGAAGTAAGCCCTGGGGAAAGGCACTGAGGTGTCTGTGCAGGAGGGATTATGTGATCAGATTTACCTTTATTTATTTATTTATTTGGTGCCAGGGATTGAACTCTATTTATTCATTTTTAATTTTTTTTAATATTTATTTTTTAGTTTTAGGTGGACATAATATCTTTATTTTGTTTTTATGTGGTGCTAAGACTCGAACCCAGTACCTCACACATGCTAGGCAAGCGCGATACCACTTGAGCCACATCCCCACTTATTTATTTTTGAGATGGTGTTTCACTGTGTTGTACATGCTGGTCCTGAGCTTCTGGGTGCCAGTAATCCTCTTGCCTCACCCTCATCAGTAGGTGGGACTACAGTAGTGGGCCACAATACTTGGCTTGGATTTCGTTTTCTTTCTTTTCTTTTTTTTTTTTGGTGCTGGGGATTGAACCCAGGGCCTTGTGCATGTGAGGCAAGCACTTTACCAACTGAGCCAAATCTCCAGCCCCTGGCTTTGAAAACTTTTGATCTTCCTGCCTCAGCCTCCTTAGCTGCTGGGATTATAGGCATGTGCCACCACACCTAGCTCTCTATATATTTTTTAAGTTGTCTGCTGTGTCGGGGATTGGGTTGGAAAGGAAGGGTGGAAGAGAGATAGAGGAGAGTGGTCCAGGGAGAACAGCTAGGATTGAAGGAGCCCAGGGACTATGTTTTTTTAATTTCAGCAGTTTTTTTTTTCTTTTTTTTAAGAAAGGAATGATAGGGCAGTGGCTAGAGGGAGGATATGGGAATCAAGAGTTTTTCTTTTTTTTTTTTAAGAGAGAGAGAGAATTTTAATATTTATTTTTTAGTTTTCGGCGGGCACAATATTTTTGTTTGTATGTGGTGCTGAGGATCGAACCCGGGCCACATGCATGCCAGGCAAGCGCGCTACCGCTTGAGCCACATCCCCAGCCCTTCAGCAGTTTTTAATAAAAGTTGTAAATAAGATTACTTTATTCTTGCATGTTCTCAATTGTTTCCTCCTTATATTTTCCCTTTTCCTTTCCTACTTGGCCTTCTGTTTTAGGATCTTTTTGTAGTCTTTGTCCAGTTTTAGCCTTGCTGGAGTGAATGCCTATGTGGACAGTTGTGCCATATTATCCTTTTCTCACTGTATATGTTCAATGTATATAGCATATTTCATTCTGAAAACTTGGACTACTTTGCCAATCTGCTGACTTTTATTTACAGTGTCCTCATACAACCTGGACTTCATTATCCTTTCTGATGGGTGTAGATCAAACATTGTACTTCTGTCCCAGCTTCTTCCTGCTAATGTGTGAAGATGCATTGAAATGCCTTTTATGGTCTTGCTTAGGTCAAAAGTCACAAAGAGATTGAACTTCATCTGGTCCCTGCTGCTTCAGTGATGGTGGCACAAGAGAAAATTTTGTTGAGTATTTTTTTTTTTTTGGCCGGGGTGGGGGGTACTAGGGATTGAACTCAGCCACATCCTTGGCCCTATTTTGTATTTTATTTAGAAACAGGGTCTCACTGAGTTACTTATCGCCTCACCATTGGTGAGGTTGGCTTTGAACTCGCCATTCTCCTGCCTCAGCCTCCCAAGCTGCTGGAATTATAGGTGTGTGCCACCACACCTGGCTATTGTTGAGTATTTTGAACTAAAGACCCATGAAAGTCAACAGGTGCTGGAAGAGGCTTTACTCTGACAAATCCTTAGGGGCAATAAGACTTGACCCCCAAAACTGTGATGTAGCTCAGTGAAAGAGCACAGTCCTCAGAAAGGAATATGATATTTGCCTTCCATCCTTATCCTGAAATCTCATCTATCACAAATGACTGAGAAATGTAACTGTGCCTGGTCAGATTTTGGTACATGGTAACTTCTGTCCCTCTGGCTCAAATTCTAAAGAGAGATCTGGGGTTGTGGTAGAGTGGTTGGCTAACATGTACCAGGCTCTGGATTCCATTCCCAACACCACAAAAATAAACAAATAAAGAATCTAGAGAGAATAATTTTACAAGTTAATTTCTGTCTTCAGGTCTATTAATTCCCGTAATAATCATTTGTCCCTCAAATTGTCACATTCTCCCCCCCCCCCCACCCCATGAAGAAAGGCTTATAAACATCTGGACTTCATTGGGTTATTTGAGCAATCACACTCCTGTGACCCACATTAATTATTAATGTGTGTTTTTATACATTTGCTATGTTTTCTCCTATTTAATTTATCAGTTAATTCCAGAGAACTTTCCTGGTTAGAAGGAAAGTCTTCTCTTGGGGGCTAATGCAATAATCCAGCAAGAGATCTTGGATCAAGGTTGAAGCAGTGGAGGTGATAAAATATAAACAGATGAAACATGCTTTGAAGTTAGAAGTCAACAGAACCTGCTGATGGCTACAAATTTGGAGGTTAAAGCTATTAGATAATATTTACTTAGAGCCATAGAATTAGATGAGCTCCCTTATAGGACTAAAACCTTGTGACATCCAAAAGTTAGACTGTCCATACTATCAAAACATGTTCTCTAAGCCAGGTGCAGTGGCACACACTCAGCAATTTGGGAGGCTGAGGCAGGAGGATCACGAGTTCAAAGCCAGCCTCAGCAAAAGTGAGGTGCTAAGCAACTCAGTGAGACCCTGTCTCTAAATAAAATACAA